TCACAAAGATCAACTGAAGTCTTGTTCTTCCCTGGCAAGTACTATGGGTGATCTCACCTTTCCCTTTTGGGCCTATCTTCAAATCAGACATTTTCTTCTCTCTCCCGCATATCGCCATAAATGGGTCCGCCCTCTCACCTCCTTTGAGTCACTCTGTTCAAAAGCTGAACCACGGAGGCATTTAGTATCATTTACCTATTTGCTCCTTCTTGGTGACAGAACCTCTGATTCACTTCCCGCCTGCAAAGCTTGGAAAAGAGACTTAAACATTGACTTTTCTTCCTCTGATTGGGACCAAATCTTTACCTTATCTCATAAGTGCTCCTTGAATGTTTCGGCACAAGAAAATGGATACAAGTTGGCGACATGTTGGTACAATACACCTTCTAGAATCCATCATTTTAATCCATCCAGACCCTGTATTTGTTGGAGATGTGGGGCTCCTGTTGGATCTCTTCTTCATATCTTGTGGGACTGCCCTATGGTTCAGCCCTTTTGGCAGGAAGTACATCGGATTACTTCTTCGGTGTCTTCTCTTGATATTGAGTTCTCTCCGGCCTAACTCCTCCTCCACCATACTCCGCTTCCCAAATGTCTATATTTCAAATTTCTGTCTATGCATATGCTTAACGTAGCCAAACTCTGCTTACCGGTTCTCACAGTGCGAGATTGGTTCATACGCTTGAACAGAATTGCTGAAATGGAAGAGCTGATTGCTTCTTCTCTGGATAACCCTACTAAATTTTCTCATACGTGGTCCTGTTGGATTCACTTCCGAACGACCCCTGAATATCGTTCTTTCAGGGCCTTGCTGATTGATTCTGAATCTCTGTGATACCCTGTAGTGTTTCTGGCGATATATCGGCTCTCTGTTTTTTCAAGGTTGTGATTGAGGTCCTTTGTCTCGATGTCCTGTACTGCTTGGAGCAAGCTACGCTTGGCAGTCTGATACGCCTGCAACTGTCCCCAGCTCGCTTCTCTGCCAGGGTTGCGCGTATCTCATGTCCTGGGAGTCTAGAGTAAAGGTGACTTACCTACCCTCCTACTCCTCCACACCACCTCCCTGTCCGACCATTCCCCACGCTGCCCTTGGGCAGTGCCTGAGTTTCCAAATTGTCAGTCCGCCCCTGATTCCACCCATAATCCCCATGTAAAAACATAGCTATTCTCATATTCTTATCAGAAAAGGGTCAAATGTGTTCCTAGGCATTTTCAACCATGATATTTCACCCATAATCTCCATATAGAAAAATAACTATACCCATATTATTAGGAGAAATTAAAAAAAACTATTATATTTTTATCAGAAACAGGTCAAATGTAATCCTAGGCATGTTTAACGTTGATATTCCACCCACAATCCCCATGTAGAAAAATAATTATGCCCATAATCTTTTCAGAAATAGGTCAAATATGGTTCTTGGCATGTGTATGCACAATAATATACCCATAATCCCCATGTAGAAAAATACATATTCTCATATTTTTATCAGAAAGGGGCCAAATGTGTTCCTTGGCTTGTTAAAAAAAAACAATATTCCACCCATAATCCCCATATAGGAAAATAACTATTCTCATATTCTTATCAGAAAGGGGTCAAATGTGTTCCTAGGCATATTTAAGTATGATATTCTACCCATAATCCCCATATAGAAAAATAACTATACAAATATTCTTAAGCAAAACATGTCAAAAATGGTCATTGACATGTGTATCTGCAAACATCCACCCATAATCCCCATGTAGAAAAATAACTTTTCTCATATTATTATCAGAAACAAATCAAATGTGTTCCTAGGCATGTTTAAACCAGGATATTCCACCCATGATACCCATGTAGAAAATGTGCCCTAATATTTTTGTAAATAGGTCAAATATGGTCCTTGGCATGTGTATCCACAATAATATACCCATAATCCCCATGTAGATAAGTAACTATTTTCATATTTTAATCAGAGAGGGGTCAAATGTGTTACTAGGCATGTTAAAAAACAATGTTCCACCCATAGTCTCCATGTAGAAAAATAACTTTTCTCATATCAGAAAGGGGTCAAATATGTTTCTAGGCATGTTTAACCATTATATTCCACCCATAATCGCCATGTAGAAAAATAATTATGCCCATATTCTTATGAGAAACATGTCCAATATAGTCCTTGGCATGTGTGTCTGCAATCATCCACCCATAATCCCCATGTAGAAAAATAATTATGCCCATAATCTTTTCAGAAATGGGTGAAATATGGTTCTTGCCATGTATATCCACAATAATACACCCATAATCCCCATGTAGAAAAATAACTATTTCATATTTTTATCACAAAGGGGTCATATGTTTCTAGGCATGTTAAAAAAAAACAATATTCCATCCATAATCTCCATGTAGAAAAATAGCTATTCTCATAATCTTATCAGAAAAAATGTCAAATGTGTTCCTAGACATGTTTAACCATGATATTCCACCCATATTACCCATGTAGAAAAATAACTATACCTTTAATCATTTCTGAAATAGGTTGAATATGGTCCTTGGCATGTGTATTCACAATAATCCATCCATAATCCCCATGTAGAAAAATAATTATATTGCCTATTTGAAATAGGTTAAGAATCACAATAATATTCCCCCCATAATCCCCATATATAAAAGTAATTTTACCCATATTGTTTTCTAAAAAGGTGAAATGTAATTTGTATGGTATGTGTAACCATTATATTCCAGCCATAATCATCATGCAGATCAATATTAACCACATGCCGCCCAGCCACCGCCTATAAACGGCGGCAGGGCGGCGCTCGTAGGCAAAAACGACGTTTTAAAAACGGACCTCTGCAAAACAGGTAGGGGGCGCGCGTGAGGCGCGCGCCCCGCCTTGCCTGTCCCGCGGGTGTCAGCCGCCGGGTCACGGCCGATTTTTACCGGCCGTTTTCCCGCGATGAGCTGTTATCACTGACACAGAGCAGAGCTGCATTGTTTACACACAGTTCCCCGACAAACTGAAGAGAGAGAGAAGAATTTCTCTCCCTCGATCAGCTCCCCCCTCCCTCCCCCCGTCCAACACACACCCCCCCGCCCCCTAGTAAAAACACTCCCCTTACACAATAAACTCTAAATATGTTAACCCCTTTCCTCCCCAGTGAGACATTAGTACAGTATCAGTGGGGTTTTTTTTCACTGATCACTGTATTGGCGTCACTGGGGATGTCAGTGACCCCAAGTCAGTTCCCCCCAGTGTCAAAATGTCCGCCACAGTCCCGCCATAAGTCGCTGATCGCCGTCATAAGTCCCTGATCGCCGCCATTATTAGTATAAAAAAAAAAATTAAAAATCCCAGTATCTTTCCCGCCATTTGTAAACGCTATAACGTTCACGTAAACCAATTAATTTACACGTATTGGGATTTTTTTTAGCAAAGACATGTCGCAGAATGTATTTTGGCCGAAATTTATGACTAAATTAGATTTTTGCATTTTTTTTTTACTGGAAATGTTTTATATCTAAAAGTCCAAAATATTGTTTTTTTTTCCTCAAAATTGTCAGCCTTTTTTTTTTATAGCACAAAAAATAAAAACCGCACAGGCGATCAAATACCACCAAAAGAAAGCTCAATTTGTGGGGAAAAAAAGGATGTAAATTTTCATTTATGTACCTTATTGCATGACCGCGCAATTGTTAGTTAAACTAGCGCAGCGCTGTATAGCAGAAAAATGGCGTAAATTGCAGTATTTATACCATAGTTTGTAGACGCTATAACTTCCACACAAAGCAATCAATATACACTTATTGGGATTTTTTTTTACCAAAAAGTGTAGCAGAATACATTTTGGCCTAAATTTATAACCAATTTTGAATTGACTATATATTTTTTATAGCTGAAAAGTAAAAAATATTGTTTTTCTTCAAAATTTGTGGTCTTTTTTTGTTTATAGCGTGAAAAATAAAAAGCGCACAGATTACACGAATTACACCGAAAGAAAGCTCTATTTGTGTGAAAAAAAAGGACGTAAATTTTGTTTGGGTGTAGCATTGCATGACCGCGCAATTATCAGTTGAATTAGTGCAGCGCCGAGTAGCAAAAAGAGGCCTGGTCATTAAGGGGGGTAAATCCTCAGGAGCTCAAGTGGTTAACCACATTGTTATCAGAAATGCATTAATTTTTTCTTTGGAGTTTGTAATTTTTAATCTTCATTTTTTAAACATCATTTTCCAGGTTTCTAATAACACAGTTCAAAATGTAGTGCTTTACACATACATGTACTGTATGAAATAAGTAAATCTATTCCTATTAATATATTGAGTAATGTTTCCATTATTTCTGTATAATTTACTATGCCATTTTACAGCTGCACATATACCAGTAAGTGAAGAGTTAAACATTAGCCACTACTACTGGCAACATAGTATCAAGCACTACAGAAAAGAAAAATATATTTTGTGTAGCAACAAAATCATTACCATATACTGTGTGTAAAAAATATACTGACACCTAATGAGAGTGTTGAGCATTGCAGCCAATAATCCAATCATCCTATCATCCCAATATGACGTTTGGTACGTCCCCGTCATTACAGACAGGGATATTTAAGATTTCACATTTACAATATAGTAGCACTTGTCAACAAGACAGGGATTCTTTAACCACTTGCCTACAGGGCACTTATACCCCCTTCCTGCCCAGGCCAATTTTCCAGCTTTCAGCGCTGTCACACTTTGAATGGCAATTGCGCGGTCATGCAACACTGTACCCATATGAAATTTTTATAATTTTTTTAAGACAGAGCTTTCTTTTGGTGGTATTTAATCACCTCTGTGATTTTAAAATTTTTTCTTAAACCAAAAACCACTGAAAATTTAAAAAAAAAAAGTTTTTTCTTAGTTTTTGTTATACAATTTTGTAAATAAGTGATTTTTGTCCTTCACTGATGTGCGCTAATGAGGCTGCAGTGATGGGCACTGATTGGCTGCACTGATGGACACTGATAGGTGGCACTGATGGGCACTGATGAGGAGGCACTAGTAGGTTGCACTGATGGGCATTGACAGGCATCACTGATGGGCACTGAAAGGCAGCACTGATACATGACACTGATATATGACACTGATAGGCGGCACTGACTGGAACTGCAAGGTGGCACTGACTGGCACTGATGGGTGACATTGAAAGGCAGCTCAGATGGGCACTGATATGTGGCATTGATGTGCACTGGTATGCACTGATATGTGGCATTATGGCACTGATGGGCACTGGCACGTGGCACTGATGAGCACTGACTGCTGGTACTGATGGATACTGACAGGTGGCACTGCTGGGGCTACACTGATCATCAGGGCACACTGATCATCAGTGCCCTGATGATCAGTGTACATGTCCCCTCCACAGAAAGCCATTTACCGGCTCTCCTCTCGAGCTGTCAGAGTGACAGCTTGAGAGGAGAGAAATGCCGATAACCAGCATTTCCATGTTTACATGTGATCAGCTGTGATTGGACACAGCTGATCACATGACCGACATCTTCGGCTCTTTCCGTGATCCGCTGTGTCTGAGGGACACATCGCACCGGCGATCACCGCGCTGCCCGCACCCTGAGCCACGCATGCGCAGTGAGAATGGAAGGACGTCATATGACGTCCTATCAGAACGAGAGAACCACCTTGCACCCGTCATTGTACTATATGACGGGCGGAAGGTGGTTAAGTTCATTAGAGATACTCGTAATGATTCTAAATATTGCTTTATAAGAAAAAGGGCAACACTGTGCAAACAAAATATTTACAGAAAAAGGTGTCAATAATACAACATAAAACAAAAAGGGTTTAACCCCCCCCCCCCGCTTCATGACAAAGGTAAAACAAATCCTTAAGCCTTTTTTGCAACTTTGACTTTGTTATATCAATTCAGTAAGTACTACCCCTTAGGTGTACTACATGCTAGCAAGGTGTTCTGTCCTCTCTACATGTTTATAACTCATCATGCAGCTAAACCCTCCTATTCTGCAATAAGTCAAAATTAATTTAATGTTGAAGCTTTGTTAACAAAACAGAGTGGGTGAAACTATTAGGAAAAATAGATGAGAAATACATATAATCAATGTAAGAACATACAGAAAACACAGTGAAAAGTTAGGCTATAGATGTCGATAAGTGATTCTCTCCAGTGTTGCTGCCCTTAAGGAGTGCAAAAGGATTCAAGTCTTAGTCCAACATGCACTATGATAGCTGGCTCCTTCTCTCCCAGTTTCTAAGATGGAGTTGGAGCTCCCATGATGCATCTCTCTCCTTTCTCGCAGAATTATGGGAACTTTTATTAACTCCTAACTATTATCTAAACAGTCTCTAGTTTCTGTAAACAGAACATTTATTACCAGCTCTATCTAATGGTCAATTTTGATATTGCAGGCAGGACATAATTAATATATTCCCCTGCTAGAGGCAGAATACAAGGTAAACCAAAAACAGCTAAAAGCATGATAACAGACTTTACTGGTACAAATTACAAGAATGTATTACTTTTTATATTAATAGCTACTTTATGTAAAAACAGTGTGTTCTTATTATTCAATATACTGTAATTCTCTTGAATTGTATAGTAAGATATTTCCATTATTTATAGAAATCACATAACTTATGTTGCATTTTTATTGATCCACAAGGTCAACACATTTCTCATATCTTCCTCAGGATCAAATCTTGGGATCCAAAACAGCAAGACTGAACCTGATCAACCGGAGATATATACCACTCTGTCAAATACATACTGTATTCTAATACCAAAAATCACATCATATCTTTGCACATATCTCCACATACCAAAATTGAAACATTACTTGCACAGCAACTACGGGAAGTGAGGAAGGGTGGCATACACTCCCAGGGAGGATATCAGGACAAGGACATCCAAACCAAACTGAGGCTCGTTGCAACCCCCCCAATTTCTAATGATAACAACACCAACACAATAAGGCACCAAATATTTTTAAGAATAGATGCTGAATAGCATTTATTTTGCACAAACAGGGGAAGAGAACAGAGTATGCAATACTAATCTATTTGCAGTCATAAGGAGGGAGAGCAGGGGCGCTACTAGCCAGGGCAGCCATCAGGAATTTTAGAGCCCCTTTCACAGCTTTAAGCCTGGGTCCGCTGCCTTTCCCTGCACTTGACCACCAACATTTACCAGGGTCCGAATCTACCCACTGTCCTTCAGTGCACCCACTTTTATTTGTAACACTCTTACAACTTAATATGTGAAAATGAAAACTGTATTCCAAGCCATCAGTGTTTTCAATATTTAACAGTAAGGAAAATATATTTTGGATAAACAATATGAAGCATGCCACCATGACAGGGTAGACACTTTTTCCCCATCAATGACAACAATCCGTCCAGGCCCTGAGGCAGCAAAGCAGCCCCAAACTATGATGTTCCCTCCGCCATGTTTTACAGTGGGGATGAGGTTTTGATGTTGTTGTGCTGTGCCTTATTTTCTCCACACATAGTGTTGTGTGTTCTTCCCAAACAACTCAATCTTGGTTTCATCTGTCCACAGTATATTTTGCTAGTAGTGCTGTGGAACATCCAGGCGCTCTTTTGCAAACTTCAAACGTGCTGCAATATTCTTTTTGGACAGCAATGGCTTCCTCCGTGGTGTCCTCCCATGTACTCCATTCTTGTTTAATGTTTTCCTTATTGTAGATGTGTCTACAAAAATGTTAGCACGTGCCAGAGATTTCTGTAGGTCTTTAGCCGACACTCTGGGATTCTTCTTTACCTCATGCAGCATTCTGCGCTGTGCTCTTGCAGTCATTTTTACAGGACGACCGCGCCTAGGGAGAGTAGCAACAGTGCTAAACTCTCTCCATTTGTAGACAGTCTGTCTTACCATGGACACATGAACATCAAGGCTTTTGGAGATACTTTTGTAATCCTTTCCAGCTTCATGCAAGTCAACAATTCTTGATCGTAGGTCTTCTGAGAGCTCTTTTCTGCGAGGCATGGTTCACATCAGACAGTGCTTCTTGAAACCAGTAAACCCAAAACAGGTGTGTGTTTTTTAAGGGCAGGACATCTGTCAGCAACACATCCAATGTCATCACACTGATTGGAGTCAAGGTTGGCTCACTCCTGGCTCCAATTAGCTCTGGGAGAAGTCATTAAGCTAGGGCCTCACATTCTTTTTCCTCCCTGCACTGTGAATGTTTACATGTTATGTGCAATTAAACCATGGCAACATCTAATGTTTGTGTAGTATTATGTTCAGCAGACTGTGTTCTTCTATTGTTGTGACTTAGATGACGTTCAGAGCACATTTTATGCCCAATTCATGCAAAACTCCACGTAATCCCAAGGGGTTCACATACTTTTTCTTGCAACTGTAATCAAGATGTACCTACACTCTCCATCCTTACTAATATATGTGCCTTTAAAGGGGATTATCCATGTAAACGTTCCCCCTTGAGGATAAGGATGAGCAGTTTCTCCAAAATAAATAGCTTGGGTACACTAGTTCTGTTGACCTGGTGGTTCCCAAGGAATTTTCTTAATTTGTAGAGATCTTCTCACTTCCTGTTTTGGTTATGACACAGGAAGTGAAGAAAAATCTCCCCAAATGGCAAAAAAATAAAACTGCAGGGGTTATAACCCTCCCTTACTTTATCCAAAAATAAAAAAAAGTTTTGCCTGTAGTTCTACTTTAAATACACCAAATGTGCTAGGACACGTAGCACCCTCCCATAGGTCACAAAGAACTAAGGGGTGTTGTTTGGTGAAAGAAAAACTAAGCCTTGGCCACTAGATAGTTGTCCTACATAATGTTGAATGTTCCTTTTCAAAATTACTGCGTTTAAATGTGATATGCAGAGTGCATATACCTACCTGCCTGTGTGTAGCTATAAGGGGTTTTTTAGGTTGTCTAATTGTTTTGTGAATGGAAGGATCTTGTTTTGTGATGTAAAATTAAATAAATTAAATCTAATTTTAAAAAATGGTTGCATTTTTCTTGCTACTACCATAATTTACCATCTGACAATCACCACATATGTGTATTTTATTTGATGTTTGTATCCATAGTAGATCCCAGAAAAAATGGTGCACATTTTGCTTTTTTTTTCAGTGTAAGACACACTTACACTGACAACTGACTACTACTAATTTAAAAAATGTTTGTTTTTTTTAATATTATCTAATCCTGACCTTTGACACTGACCTTGACCCTAACTCTAAGGCTACATTCACAGCAGCAATTAAGGCTGGTACAAATTGTCACAGATTTTGTTTACAGCTGCAGATGAGTGGCAGTAATTGCAGCTATTTGTGGCTCTCCACACAGCCAGCAATTATTGCAATGATCTAGATACCTTTTTCCTTTCCTTTTTCCTTTCCTTTTCCCTTTCCCTTTCCCTTTCCTTTCCTCTAGCAAGGAGAAAAAGATATAATGTGTATTTTTCTCTATTCAGAGGAGAAAGCACACATGTGGGTGGGCGTTACAGTGATTGATCACTGTGATAGCCAATTAGAGGCTATCACATTGATCAGTTGATTGAGAACTGAGCTTTTTGGTTCCTTATCATTAGTATGAGACCCAGGGCTCTCAATAAGAGCCTGGCCTCTGTGCTGGAAGCATACTCTTAGCTGTGCTCTCAGCACAAAGACTTACGGAAGAACACCCACTTCATTGGGGCCGCATATACTGTATGTGTACAAGTGGCAGTTAGGAGTTAACAAAGTCATGGGTTTTCAGCAAAATTCTGTCAATGGGCATAAATTAGATCAGAGTTGGACTCCTGGATGATGTTCTTTGGATGATGGTAAAAGCGAGCTCAATATTGCTGATGCAGTCACTCTTCTTTGGTGCTTAAGGAGGGCAATGACAGAAATGACCTGACCAATCAAAAGGTCCAAAGAGTGGCTGAGGTATGTCAAAGATGGTAATGATCATGGAGATACCATTTTCTAAATACATGAATCAATATTTCGAGTATACCACCACAATCTGGTAACCCGTATATTACTGTGCAGCAAGCAATGGCTATTCTATAGAATAAAATGATATACCTCAGGAAGTGTAATTTACTTACCCCCTCCCCGTATAGGATAGCCTAGTCCTATTTAACCCTGAAAGGTCTGGTATCTTCTTCTTTTGGATATATAATCATTAACGTACCTTTATCATATCTGATTTGATCTATTTTGTATAGATTTTGAAACTGACTTTAACAGGGGGTCACTTGCAGGTTAGGCAGGCCCGCTATCAGTATAGATCAGGCCTAAATTGCCTTTACAATATCAATTAGTCCTGTATAAGACCTTTTATAGCATGCCAAGTATCCCTCATGAATTTAATTATCTTTAGGTCTAGAAAGTGACAAAACTGAGATGCTCTTAACACATTTATGATGGACTGATCCCGATTCTCTGTTTTTTAGTTTGATTTTATTAAGTGCTCATAAGAATTTGTAGATTGATACTGCTAACACACATGATGGCTTTGAGATGATAAACAAC